TGCCAGCCTCCACGAACCCTCATGGCACATCTCCGATCCATTTACAGGCCGCTTCTGCACTTCACTGCTGCACCTTAAGCTGCACTGGCAACAATAATTATAATGATGCAGCAAGGAAGCTTTGCAGACTGGGATGCAAATTCTCCTTATCTCTGTCGTAAATGGGTGAACCGCCCCCGCCCCATTTTTAAACAGTGACCCCTGTTTCTAGATTCCCCAGAAAAGGAAGCATTCTTTTTACATACACTGTGTCAATAACTCTCAGAATTTGTATATTCCAACCAAGTTGCATCTTACTCTTCTAAACTCCTATAAGGTTAGCCTGTTAACCCATTCTTGATAAGACAACTCACCCATTCTCGACATTAGTCTAGTTAATTTTCTTGAACTTCTTCCAAATCATTTACCTCCCTCTTTAAATGAAGAGATCAATAATATACACAGTAATCCAGATGTGGTCTCACCAATGCCATATATGGCTGAAGTGTAACCTCCCTATTTTATATTCAGCAATCTAGGGGATCTTTCACTTGGGGACAAGACACTAATGGTGAATATTGTCAGTTGCTGTTAACAGCTATCAGCATTGCTCTCTGTTAGAAGATTTCCATCATCTGACCATAGTTGTTGTTTTCAAGGAATAGATGCAAATTTTATTTTTGTTGATTTTATGTATCTATCTCTCACCTCCCAGTGCTTAACACACCACAGAAACAACTTACACACATGAACGACACAGCTGGTGATTCCCAAGACTGTACTGCTTAACTTCACCAAAGTTCAACGAAACTAGGAGAATTTTGTTCCTTGAAGACATGAGACTTAAGTGCATAAATGTAGGTTTAGCCCAAGGTGCACTTGCAAATTCTCTCCCTCTTGAGACGTCTCAAATCATGGCATTTAAATTGAGTATGGAATTCAAGTTAAAGGGATGTCCCAACAAAGTAACTTCTGATGGAATTAGTCCCAACTTTATCTCTGAATTAGAAAATAATCAAACCGCGACAATTGGTCTGTTTGGTCCAAAGCTCTTAGTGGTAAACTTCCAGGGATGATGGAAAAGTGTTGGTTAGATCTGAGAAATGTACCTCCAAGCATTTCGAGTTTAAAGATTTTAGTGATGAAATGAAACCAAAATCTTTGCCTTTTTAAAAAAAAGAATGTCACGCCTGCAGGCAGGGTTTCCCAACAAATAAGAAAGGACAGGTCAAGCAAGTGAATACCTTTACAGCACTTGGGACAATCAAAATGCTACAGTCTATCCATCGCACATTCTTGCCCCCCAACCCCCCACAAATTGATCTCTTTAGCCAAATCCCGCAGTCTCTCTTCCCCATCCTGACCATTGCAGAACCCACTTCCATGCAGTTAGGGCACCAGACCCCTCCTCCACCCAACCACCCTGAAATTTAAGGGCCTATAGCTCTCTTAAATAGATTGTCAATTTGCTGCTTAAGTGAATACCTGATATTGCAGATCTGCCCCCTTTTTAAATAATGGTCAGATTTTTACTTACTTTGCAATCATAATAACCAGCAAATCCACAGTGACAGTTTTATATTGTTATTGTTATATTCTTAGGACAGTTAAAATGTTAGGCAAACTGACCTTTGCAGCATTGGTTGGCCCATATAACTGAACACATTTTCAGATCAAATGGGAAAGAGTGGGCAATTTCCATAAGGTGATAAGTAACTTGGAGGACATTGGCAATCAGTGATTAAAGTATGGCTTTTGTGATTGGTGTAATTACCATAGGGAAAGGGATCAATCCACCACAGTACAGGAGAGATGTTTAGGAAGGTAAGCTGTTAATAAAACTGTTTGCCAAAGGATTCAACAACAGATGGGTTAGTATGTCTTCCTTGAGGGAAGCAAATAGCTTTGAAGTAAACAGCTAGGACTGTTCATGTAAATAGATTGTTTTCAAAGGATTCAAGAACAGATCAATCATGAGGTTATGTTTCTTTGATGCAGGTAAACTGGAGTGCATAAGGAAAAATGCTTTTCAACCCAGTTGAAGAGCTCAAAACGCCACAGTCAAATGTTATGGTAAAGATTAATCACCAATGTCGTATAAAAATGAGGTCTGGTCTATCAGTTGTCTCACGTTTATCTAAAGAATGTTATGATCTGTTGATAAAAGATACAGTGACTAACAATTGATCTAGAGTACACAAGGCAGATAATTCAAAATCAGTGGGCAGCATCTTCCACATGGGATACTGAACTTTGTTGTCAGTCTCAATGAGGGGTTAGAAACCTCGCTGTACAGGAAACAGTCACTGGTTGGAACTTTCCCCAAATCAGCTGACTAATGGTCAGAGGCTGGGCTCATCTAATTAAGGATGATGGGTGGGCTTTTAATTTTGGAGAGCAAACAAAAGCAGCATTAGGATGCCCTACCAGACAAGTGACAAAAAGGGTACCGCAAAGCAGAGGTACCCTCTCTCAAACAAGTTCAAATGGAAAACAAAGAAAAGGCCTCTGCAGCTAAGCCATTGCTGCAGAGGGAGGTTAAAGGGAGCAGCTTCACATGTTGTCCACAGCAAAATTTCAAAAAACCTAAATGGTTTGGCAAATTCAAATAAATTAGACATTGTTATTTAATGATCATGGCCAAATCATGGAAAGCTTCTCCGAATATTTGATACATGAGTGCTCTCAGTATTTGAGCAAATGCAGTGGGTGAAGAATCCCAGTTATGATACACTTCTGATATCCATCAAATATAATTGTGCATTCTACCATTGTTCACTACCTTGATGCAGTGAAAAAATATGTTTGAGTCTACAGTAATTGCCACAATTCGCATCCTACTTAAATCTAGAAAATGTCAATAATACAAATAATTACTATTGGATCTACAGGGTGATTTTTACTGAGAGGGCCCAAGATTTACTGATATAAATATTATACACATCCTTCAGAACTTCAAAATTTGACAGTGAGTCTAATCTATCCTAGCTAACTTACTGTGTCATTCACAGACAAAAGAGAAAGATGACTTCTCTCAGCTATAACTGTCTCTATGATACTCCTGCTTTCTTTTAGATATTTGGAGGTGTGTCACAGTTGAATTATGGTGTGAATTTTTGGGGATGTGGATTAAGCGTTACTCACACTGACAACCCCACCTCATCCAAAACTCCACTGGAAAAACCTTGTTGCCTGACAACAACCTCACACTGGGAGTGGCATTAATTGGTTCCGAGTGAGATATCCGCATGAATCCAGCAGGCAGCCCCACCCTGGAGAATTCTAGACAAATCTGATTGGCTTGGTGGAGTTTAGCTGCACCAGGATCGCATAATGGCCACAGCTGGAACTACAGGCCAGGGAAGAAATGTCATGGATCCAAGACTTCACGCAAGTCTAGGAACTTTGGACAGCTCTGTCTGCCAGACGAAAAAGAGGGCGTGAGGTCATGTTTTGGAGGGTAGCACTTCCCCATCCTGCATGACAGCAGGCCCACCTTGCTCAGCCTTTCTCTGTCACACATATTATTACAGTGGTGTACGCAAATAAGGCCCCTAAATAACCATTAATTGACCACGTAATTTTCTCAATAGGTGCAAGGACATGGGGACTGTCTGAAGGCTCAACTGCCCCACAGCATGGTCTGAGATTGTGGCAAGAAGGTGGACAGGCCTCCAGTTTTATTTTTCTTGTAACAGCAAGGAAGTCATAAAAATAATCCCAATGCTTGTGACTGCTAAAAGTAACTAAAATGTTACATATTTCATCTCGCAGAGGAATTGTAAACGAGCTGCTGCAACTTGCCTGAACTCCTGAGTTATTCACTCTCACAGCTTCCCTTTTATTTTTGTTGAAACGCCACAAATACAACCTAAGGCATTAGCTGCCAGGAAGAAATTGTCATCCGTGTCTCAATTCAGTTATGAATTCCTATAATCATGACATTTTTGTCAGTTAACGTTATTTAAATAATATATTTATCTTTCAATGATTTAAAATTAAGCAAAAGATATTTTAAAGTGTAACTCACCTTTTCAGGAACATGCAAATGTTGACATGTTGCATGAAATATTAAATTAAAAAAATCAAGTATTGCCGTTTTGTCAAAGACTTTCATTTTGTATTGCTCAGGACATTCACAAGAACATGTACACACATGACACCTGTTTTAACTAAACAAAATAGGTGACAGACATTCTCTGGTCATGCTTCAGGGCAATACCTTATCTGGAGTCAACCAACCCAGTGTAAATTTAAGCAAAACCTGGCAGTTAACCATGTTAACCTCTCACCAGCCACCATCTAACAATTATATTATCGATGGAGAGGTCTCTACCAATCACAGTCCATTTGCCAGCCAAACAGTACTGTCTTCTCATACAATATAAAATGTTAAATAAAAACCAAAATAACTGCGAATGCTGGAAATCAGAAACAAAAACAAACTGCTGGAAAAGCTCAGCAGGTCTTGTTGGAGAGAAAGCAAATTAATGTTTTGTATCCAGTGACCCTTCCTCAGAACTGATGGTAGCTCGGAAAAAGTTGGTTTTTATGCAGAAGTTAGGTTATGGGGTGTGGGTAAAGAATTAGCGATAGGTGGAGTTAGAGCCCAAAGAGAGAGAAAAACGGTTGAACAGACAAAGGGGTAGATAACAATCAGGCCAGGGCAATGAATAGTTATTAATGGGGACTGTTAGTGGCTAACAATGGGTACTGATTTTTTTTAAGAATGAGTTAAATCAAAGGAAACAGCAGGCGAAGTCCGGTTCTTTTCAGGGTTTGAAATGTAGCAACTGGATAGATTGTCATACAGCCTACCCAGTCTTCACTAGCAAGTTTCACAAGCAGGCACAATGTATAATTGACAGCTGATTCACTACTATTGTTTTGCATCTCTGTTCATACTCAAGTTGAGTTTCAGCCCCAGTGTTCTCTACACATTCTTTCTTTACTATTTAGGGAGGTTATTTCCAGTTGCTGATTATATATTCATGAAAACGCTCAATATTCCTGTGTTTCAGACTTCAAAGTGGAATGAATCTGCAGATCTGTTTTGTTAATGACAGTGGAAGTGACAAGGACAGTGATGCAGATGATAGCAAGACTGAAACAAGCCTTGACACCCCTTTGTCGCCAATGGTATGTGTAACTATTTACTTCATTTAACCAATTCTACTAGATTGCAGTATTACTGCTACAGTTTTCATAATTATGGAAATAGCATCTGTTACCTCCTGACCTTAAATTATTACAAACTGTACTAAGGGTTCCCTTAGCTCAGAGCTGCCCCTTTTTCAAGTCAAACCACCACCACCTCAAAAAGTCCTCCTTTTTTTCTTTCAACCCCTCCATTTCCAGCTTCTCAGTCCTTTAAAAGATCCTGGAAGTCCTGATCACCTCCCATCTCCGGACACCTCTCCCAGAACTCATTATGCGGGTCCTTAATGTCATCTTGTGCCTTAACATTGATACTGAACCTCCCATTTTCACAATCATTACTTGTGCCCATTGATATTATTATGTGATCCCTTGTTCTCATGGCCAGTTCAGCCCTAGCTCCATGTTGAAATTCAGTGGCCATATCGCATCTCAGCAACTGAACTTCACCCTGGGAGAAATTGCCAAATCAGAATCCAAACAGCCATCAGGAGCTTGAACAATAACATGGCACCTGGACTCAAAGATACCAGCCAAGCTGTTGAGACATGACAAAAACACTGTCATTACTGAGCTCTCAGATCTGTTCAGCAAGATCTGGTCTGTGAAGGACATCCCAGAGGACTGGAGGAGAGCTCTAAACAAGGTGATAAAGAAGGGGAAACTCGGTGACTGCAACAACTGGAGGCCATTACACTGCTGTCACCGTCTGGCAAGGTCTTCTGCATGGTATTCCTCAACAGACTGAATGCAGATTTAGATAGTTACCTTCATGAAGAATAGGTCAGTTTCCAAAATGGCAGATCATGCTGTGAGGAGAGTTTTATGCTCAGGTACACCATACAGCAGAACCTAGAATGTCAGAAGCTATTTGTTATCAACTTCATTGATTTCAAGAAGGCTTTTGATAATAAATATTGGAAACTACTCTAGTACATCACACAATAATACAGCACCCTGGAGTATTTGTTAATATCTTCACACCCTTATACTGTGCCTCCAGTTGCTATGTTAAGACGAGTACAGACACCTACAATGTCACCACAGCAGCACAGCAAGGCTGCATGCTCTCCCTGTTCCTGGTTTCTATTAGTTAATGAGTTCATCATAAAGAAAGCAATAGTGGGTGCAGACAGTGGCATCCCATGGCAACACACTGGTTGACAGACCTGGATTTGATCGTGTTATTGGCCATAGAATCTTACTCTCCAAGATGTTAACTGTAGTCTTGGGAGTAGTGGAATCAAGCTTGGACTTGACATCAGCTGTGTGTACACAAAGGCAATGATGCATTGATGCCCAGAACACTCCCCCATCACCATCTGGCAACAGAACATCAAGAATGTCGAACACTTGTCCTGCCTAGGATGTAACATGTCCAAGGAGAGTAAAACAGATCACCTTCTATCCAAGAATTGGCAAAGCAGCATTAGTCTTCTAATGGTGTGGGCATCCAACAACATCAACATGGCCATAAAGCTGCAACTCTACATGTCCATTGTGGTATCAAATGCAATCTATGTCAGTGAGAAATGGAAGAGAGCAGCAAAGCTGGATATCTTCCACCAGTATTGCCAATGTAAGATACTGGGCCTCACTTGGAGAGACAACAGCACCAACTAAAAAAAGCGCTGCAGACAACCGGTTAAAAGTATCTTCAGGACATTGTGACAGACAACTGAGATTGCAGACAATACACCTCACCGGTGTGACAGTAGAATGGACAGCAACTGGGAAAAGAAGAACCAGCAAAGTACGTTTGAGGGCCTTGAAGCGTGGAACACCGCATGGACTGGAGCAAAAGTTTGTAGTTGGCCAGGGCCAACAGAGGAGTCATGCTTCTCATTGTCCAGTGGGGAATTCAGGATCTAAGTCTAAGTAAGTGTTCTCACCAATCTCACTCATCACATATGTTGATCACAATATTTGATCACTCTATCCTCCCCTATTGTCTCTCCTTTGCCATCCAGCACCACAACTATACCTCTGATACACATGGAGAACACACAACTTTGTCTTCCCTCTGTTCCATGCTTGTGTCCATGTTGATGCTTTTCTTACAAGTATTTGAAATACTGAAACCATTGACTTTTTTTTTTGCTGCTTTCTGTCATTTTTGTTGAAGCCACCATTCTCCCCTCTGCCAGTCCACTTCAGACTCAACTAGTCTGAGTGCAACCTGATGTAATGTTTGACCCAAAGCTAAGCTTTTAATTTGGTATCCTGTTTCTGATCAGGATTTCATACTTAACCTCTTCAGCATTATTTTTCACCAATCCGATTATACTCCCATTGCTGCAAAACACTTCCAACACAAATCTTCCTAACAGTGGAGAGATGAGCATTGCCCAGTAGCTCTTATACAACCACGCTACCCTATCCTGCTCAGCCTTTAACTATCCTTGCTGACTTACAATGGTTCACTGAACTGAAGCACATTGAGTGCTTGGGTTGCTTCACACCTCATTCTATCTCTGCAGCTTCTTTAGACAAATTTAGCCTTCAGTCCTTTGAGGCTGGTTTGCATTGCATCCATCCCTACCTCCACTCAACCAAAAGTGGAAGTCTCCCATAATCTCTGGAAATCCTTTTCTAAACAGCCCAATCATTTATTATCCCTTTGTTTGACTTCCATAATTGTGCTTTTCCATTTCTTTTAACTTTATCTTCTATTAATTCTGAGGTCTCCGTCAAAGACCGAGTTTCTATTTCTCTCACCTGTGCAACATCATGAATATTTTCTATATTTAAAGTTTTCATAGAAATCAAAACTATTCAATATCAAAGTAGTTGATTGTTCATTTTAGTGAATTATCTGAGTCAGTTTTCTTTGTGTTCCCATTTTGAAGTCATGACAAACATTGTAAAACCTGGATTTGTGTTGAAATAATTTGCTTGTAATGGTCAAGAGCAAATTTCCAATTTGGTGCTAATAACTAACCCAATTCTAATTGCACCAAGAGGTGGTTAGATTAATGTCAGGCAAGTTCATATGATCATATTGAAAACAACAGAAACTGCAAAAGCAATGACAAGTGTTAAATGGACACATATATTTTCTTGTGATATCAAGCAAAAGTGGATTTGAGTTGTGCGGAAGCAAAGCAAAGAGATAAGGACGTTATTGGCTTAATTTTCACAATCTATTTTAGGGTGATCAATGAAGCTCCTATTTTGTGATGCTTGCGGCAGATTCTGTTCTCTGGGATAACTTTGTTTCAATTAGTCTCCATTTAGAAGTGCATTACAACAGCTTATTTCTCTCCCTAGAGCAAACAGAGCTCATCGTACTCTGACAGAGACACTACTGAAGAAGAGTCTGAGTCACTTGACGATATGGATTTTCTTACAAGACAGAAGAAATTGCAAGCTGAAGCTAAAATGGCTCTTGCTATGGCAAAACCAATGGCAAAAATGCAAGTTGAGGTCGAAAAACAGAACAGAAAGAAGTCCCCTGTGGCTGATTTGGTGAGTATCCTTAAACATAGAATGCAAATGCAAGAATCCAAACAAAAATTTGGCCTCAACAATACATGATTGTGATTTTGTACACAAGTGAAAGTTGACTACAACACACAGAATATTTTCCTACCTGGTAACTAACAGCAACTTCAACAATTGACTGGCTATAGCATAAGTTTGAAGCTTTTCCATCCCTATCAGACAATTTGAAGTATGCTAATGTTGCGTATGCATTTGCAATAACGAACTGAATTGTCAATTTCTCTTTGCTATCTCAATGTCTTTACGTTAATCTAACAATTCAGTGGGATTACATCTCCTGTCTATCACTGTAATGTGTCTGGACAGAAACCAGGTGCACAATGCTGCAGAGAAGTTGCCAGACTTCAACCATGTTGTCCAGTGTGACTGATGTTTTAATTTACATCTTTCTTAGATTTTATTACAGTATGAACGTTTCTTTCGTTTAATTTCCAAGATTGCAGTCAAATGTTTGTGTACAAACTCAAAGGCAGAAAGCAAACTCAATTTGACACCAAAGATAACCGGAGATATAATCTACATTCATTATGTGTTTTCTTTCATTTATCCAAGGAAAGCTTCTCTGGTGTTGCTCCTGACAACTCCACTGAAATACTGCTTTGAGGACAGGAGTATTATACCAGTGGTTATAATTTGGGGTATTTACACCTTGTCTTGTTCTATACTTTTTGATTCTGAGTTCCAGTGTCATTCTCTTTGTTGAGCCTCCGTTCCCTGACATGATTCTTTTTGATCCACGTATACTTCCAGCAACTTGTCGAGATCGACTCTGTGAAGTTGCTTATTCTTTACTTAAGTTCCTGGAAAATGTCCTTTGGCTTCAGATCATCTTCTCCCATCCAAAGCAATTAGAATAGTGAGTCACTTGGAGGGAAATATGCAGATGGTAGTATTCCCTTGCATCTACTGTTCTTGCTGTTCTAGGTGGTAGAGGTCACAGGTTTGGAAGGTATTGCCAAGGAAGCTTTCATAAGTTACTACGGTGTATCATGTAGATGGTACGCACTACCACTGCTGTTCTCAGTCATGGAAGAAAAGAAAAACTGGAGTTTTTAATGAGTCAATGATTCACTGTCACTCAACTTTGAGAAATAAAATCTAGCATTAATATTGAATACTAGGTCATGGCTCAAACATTATAAAAGATTTTCTTTCTTCTAATTCTTAATACTAGCTAAACTAGGAAACTGTTCCTGCTTCATTTGTTGCTTTTTTACTTAGTTATCTCAGTAAATAATTTGGGCATGGGCTGATAAAAATGGGAACAAATGCATGAGTGATTACAATCTGAATTCCCTAAAGTTTGTACTCAAATGAAAAAAATAATTTGCAGAAAACTAAAATTAAAGTACCCTTTGCAGATGTGTACCATTTTGATTTGATTTGATTTATTATTGTCACGTGTACCGAGATACAGTGAAAAATATTGTTTTGCATGCTAACCGGACAAATCATACCCTACATAAGGACATCAAAGTAATAGAACAGAATGCAGAATATAATGTTACAGCCACAGAGAAGATGCAGAGAAAGATCAACTCTAATGTGAGGGGACCCTTCATAAGTCTGATAACAGCAGGAAAGAAGCTGTTATTGAATCTATTGGTATGTGTTTTCAAACTTTTATATCTTATACCCAATGGAAGAGATTTTAACCAAGTATCAACCAAGTCCTGAATATCTGACTTACTTTCAATCTACTGTCTCCTCTTAAATCCCAAAATAGTGTTTAATTTGCCAGAAGCACACCAATACACGTCATACCTATAAATGGCAGTTCATAATTACAAGTGTTTTTCTTTTATTTCTCTATAAATGTTTTAAGTTGCTGCCATAAGAAACTAAATGTGTTTTTGCTAAATTAACAGTGACTGATGACAAAGTGCCGATGCTGACCTTCCAGTTTATCCGAGATGTCACTAACATAGGCAGACATGATACTTCATTAACATTGGCTTGTTCACATAATTTAACTTTAGAGAAATGTTAAAGCTTTAAGAAATTGGCATGACTTTTTCTTAAAAAAGCTCCAATTATTGAAAGATCAGCTTTGTAGCTGACTATGTCAGTACAAATGCCCATTTACACTTATTCTTTCTGAAGATTTATCTTCTGAAACACAAACCTGACAATTTTGAGAAGTTTACATGCCAGTTCCATTTGCTAAAGCATGCCTAACAGCAATGGTTTATGCAGATTGGATTCTGAATATGTTTTGATTTCGCTATTGTAGTACGTACACTGTGACAGGATGGGATGTAAGAAGGGTATAAGGCCACAAAATACAGAATATAATAGAATAGAATATCCTTTTCTTGTTACATGTATCAAGTACAGGAGTACAGTGAAAAGTTTACAATGTTGCCTCTCTGGTGCCATCTTAGGTACAAAGTAACTAGACACAAATTTTAGATGCAAAAAGAGGAATAAAAAAGAAAAGAAGTTGCAATACCTTACAGTAATTCATAGTTTAAGTTAGAAATAAGACATAGTTAAAAGGATAAACATGACAGTCAGATAAACAAATTACAGATAAACATTACATTGCCGTTGCTCAGCTCATGGGCTTCCACACATGGTCTGACCAGCCTTGGAGGCTGCTAACCACCCACACCAGACCACAGTCCAACAAAATTGTTCCATGCCTCCAGCCTGCTCTACTCTGGCTCTCAGCCACACCAGGCCTCCAGCCTGCTCCACTCTGGCTCTCAGCCACTCCAGGCCTCCAGCCCGCTCCAGCTCTCAGCCGTTCCAAGGTAAGTTTTCTTACCTTAAAGAAAACACTTCAAAATCTTAGAAAAATATTGAGGAAGAAGGGGGTTGGGGGTGGAAAAAATGGACGGATTGGTGAGCATCGGGCTGAGGAGCCCGAACACTGCCTCACTCCACTGCCACCATCTTGAATGGATTCACAGATGAATATGGATATCTAGGTGTTGTATTATCAAGAGTTACTTCTGGTGCTATTTTGGTGAGGGCCGTAACACATGTTGAGACTGGGCACATGTGCTACAACAATGCAGAGTAGGCTGGTCATGTTATTATTCAGCCTGTAACATTGACTTGATACCAGTATCACCAGTTTGGAGCTCAGCACACTGCCATGAAAAAAACTACCATTCCATTCACTGAGTAATAAGGAAAGCAAATGGACTCTTGACATTTATTGTGAAGGGAATGCAATATAGAAATAGGGAAGTTTTAGTAAAACTATTTATGACACTAGTCAGACCGCAGCTGGAATGTGGTAACAGCTTTGGTCTCTTTACCTAAGGAAAGATATATTGGAGGCAGTCCACAGAAGGTTCACATGGTTTATACCTCATATGAAACAATTTTCTTACTAGGAGAGGTTGAGCGGGTTGGGCTTGCTGTCACTGAAGTTTAGAAAAATGAATGAGACTTATTAAGAACATAAGAACAGGAGTAGGCCATTCAGCCCCTTGAGCCTATTCCACCATTCAATGAAATTATGGCCTAACTCCACGTACTTGCCTTTGGCCCATATCTCTTAATACCTTAATATAACAAAAAAATTACCTATCTCAGATTTAAAATTAATTTATCCAGCATCCACTGCCATATGTGGAAGAGCGTTCCAAATATCTACCACCCTTTGTGTGTAGAAAGGCTTCGTAACATCTCTCCAAATCAGTCTGGCCCTGATTTTTAGAAATATGATCCCAAATTCTGGAATCCCCAACCAGTGAAGATAGTTTTTATGTATCTACCCTGGCTTTTCCTGTTAATATCTTGACGACTTTGATCAGATCACCTCCTAACCCTCTAAATTCTAGGGAAAATAGGCCTACTTTGTATAATTTCTCTGTAAATTAACCACTGAAGTTTACATTTTATAGGGAGGGTGAATCAGTAGGTGCATCAAGGTTATTTCGCCTTTTAGGGATAGTCTGGAACCAGAAAGCACAATCTCAGATTAGGGAGCAACACATTTAAGACAGAGATGAGGAGGAATTATTTTCTGAGGGTAGTGAATCTATGGAAATCTTCACCATAGAGAGCTGTCAAAGGGTTTAAGTATTCAAGGCTGAGTTAGACAGATTTATAATCGGTAAGGGAACCAAAGGTTATGCGAATAAGATAGGAAAGTGGAGTTGAAGAGAATCAGATCAACCATGATCTCATTTAATGCTGAGCAGACTAAATGGGCTGAATGGTCCACTTGTACTCATAATTTATATGGTCTTTTGTTTTATATTTTCTGATTGGCCTGTTTAGAGATGTTATGACACAAAACCGGAGCAGGTGGGACTTAAATCTGGGCATCCTGGCTCAGAGGTTGGGACACTACCTCTGTGCTATAAGAGCCTCAAATATCCTGCAATTTGTATGGTGTCTTTTCTTTAACATTTTATTTTTGAATCAACATGTTCAGAGATGTTACAACACATCTCTGGAGCAGCTGGAACTTGAACCTGGATCTCCTGGCTTAAAGGTTGGGACACTACCACAGTTTCACAGTAGCCCATAAAGGTTTGGACAATTCTTATGCTTTTTGTTCTTGTACTTAGAGGTGCTGTTATGCATAATTGAGCTATTCCCCCACTACCAAACTCACAGTGACTTTTTTTGCTATTTTGTTCCACTTCTTTTATTTACCAACAGTAAGCATCCATGTTGCCAATTAAATATTTGCAAGCAAAGCTCAATATGGGCAATGCAAACTGTCAAAAGTGAGGGGGAGGTAGGGAGAGACAGAAGGGATTAAATCAAAATGGAGTTGGAGGGGGAAATAATGCACTGTATCCCGCATGTACCCACCTCTATATAAAGGTATCGAGAGCACTGATGAACACCATGTGGTCTCTAATTATACCTAGGCACAAGCGTAACCATGGAAATTCTTATGTTCAACACATTTTCTTAACCACAAACAGCTGAAAATATGTCAAAGAAATCATTCTTCAAACCTGTTTAAAGGAATCATCAACTACTTTCAGGTTAGATGTTTATTGATGTCTGCTGCCTGTTCTTGCAATTGTAGAAGTATTTGGTGGTTTCTAGCATTGTTT